AAAAAAAAAAAAAAAAACATATACAGACCCCAAACTTTTAAATGGTTGTGTAAATAATTAAATGGTAATAATTACAATAATTTAAATGGCAGTTAAAAATTATTTAAAATAAATATAATTAATATAAATTATTAATAATAATATAAAATAATATTTTAATAGTTCAGTCATTTTTAGCTAATTCGTTTTAAAATGCGTATATATCCCATATAGTCAAAATGTAGTTAACGTGAAATCATGATGTCTGCATTTTCTGAAGTAAATTTTACTGGCATTATTTGTGAAAATATCAGCATAACAATAGTAGGTTGTTTTTTTTATGGTGTTGCTATGTAGTTGCTTAGATGTGTTGCTAGTATAGGGTGATTTGAGGTTAGCCACCATACTGTAACACTTTAGGTTTGGAGTTTTTTTTTTAAATCACTAATCACAGATATGAGCATTAGTAATGGAGAAGCTTAGCAAATGCCATTAGTAATAATAGAATTATATAGTATAGATGTCATCTAGCATGTCAACTACCCATTATTAATGTCTTACTCATTAGTATTGTTTAATAAGAGCTTTGGCGTGTTATTTAAACGTGGTTGCATGAGGACCATAATACAGTAGAGTTTCTCAGCACATGATGTGACTTACATAGGTAGCCGTTTGTTATTTTAACAGAACTACAAGTAGGAACCTTAAAATACTTTATTCAATAACGTGTCCATAGTCCCTAAATGTTAAAACATCCTTTATAAATGACAACCCTTGTGGAGAAGCTCAATTTTCACAGTTTCGGAAGCAGGGACAGTCTAGCCGTGAGTGATGAAAGCTGCACCTGTTGCCTTTTTTACCTGCTACTTTCCCCTTCTAGTGCCTCACCAAATCACACACATTAACCCCGGCACAGTCCACAAAGATCAATCTCCCTCCGCTCGCCACTGCCCTTTACCTAGTTCAGCCTGCCACCGAACACTGGAGGCCCAATTTTCTCGGCCCACCGGACTGATTTGCCTGGGAAAAAGATAGGAAGGAAGGAAGGTGCCTAGTAGGGTGATGAAGATGATGACGATGATGATAGGTCTATATGTGTGCAAATGGCTAAATGTGGACAGGAAGGAGCCATTTTTCCTGATCTCAGTGGAGAGTGTGTGCTGGGGAAAATGGCCTTGTCAAAGTGATGGTCACTGAAATATTTCCTCAGATGGCCGCCCGCTTGCTTTGCAGATTTGTACGACGTCGCTACAAGTTGAATGATTGACCCTAGACCAGTATAATCAAAACGGGCACATAAAGGCATCGTAACAAAGAGGCACAGCTAGATGTTTTCTGTCTGCATTTGGCTTTTTTTTTTTTTTTTCTTGCTTTTAAATTAGTTTTTTTCTCACCTCAGGGAAATTAGCCTTGACACTATTTGATGAGGCATGTTTTAAATAAATTTCTCTTCTGCTGTGACACTAAATGTGAGACATTTAGATTTGAATAGAACCCAGACAGCTTCAGTAGTGTAGAGAGTTTGTATGTAGAGTAATTGAACTTAAAGGAAAATTCTGTTGAAATCCAACTTGGCATTTATTAACTGCATATGTGCCAGTGTGTAAAAACGAAGGAAAAATGTGTGTTCGGTTGAACTCTTACAGTGGACATCTAGTGTACATAAATTACTATAACCCAGAATATTTCTCTGATTAGTCATAGAATTAATTCCAGCCTTTATCTGATATTTTTTGGAGAGCAGTTTTTGGTATAATGTGCTCATGTGAATATGTTCCTTAGCTTCAGTTTCTCTCAGGAAGATCCTTTTCTCCCTCACGGCTCACTACTTCAGACTAGAAGAGGGCGGTGAGCGTTCCCTCTGCATCACCTTTGCCTTTTTCTTCTTTGTGAAAGCCATGGCTATCCTTATTGTCACAGAGAACTACCTGGAATTTGGCCTTGAGACAGGTATAGTAGTGTCAAGTTGGTTTTATGCATATTGCTTTCTTTTTTATATTAGGCCTATGTAGTAACAGAATGTGAGACCATTTTGTTCTAAGGTGGATTTCTTTTATAGTCCAAAATTAAAACATGGCTACATTTAATTACTTACAAAAATAATTTGCTGTTTTCCCTTGCATATTTGAATTGCTTTACTCACTGTATCATACATCAGCCAGTCTCAAGAAAAATGACAGGGGGAAAGAAATTGTTCCTCAAATTTTTGTTTGGGATGCCGCTTAACATCTGGAATGTGTGGCCACATGCAGACAAAAAAGAAAAAAAGAAATGCTTTTAGCTGCCTAGTTACATTTCTGACAATATTGTCCACTAAAGTAAAAACGTGACAGTTACCGTGCTTTTATGTTGTAGACCATTTTCATCTTTTTGATTTGAATCACTCACATCACTTATTGTTAGTGAGGGTCAGACTGTAATTCTTGCATTATGATTTAAACCACGCATTAGGCTGCAGTTTGTTTGGTTTTAAAAGCTGAACACTATTCTGCTTACTCACCATAGTCATTTTCACTATAGATCCTGTAACCTGGTCCAAAATCAACACTTTGACTGACTAGGGATGTGCAATATTGACAAAAAAATTATTTATGATTTTCTGTGATTTTGTCAGTAGCAATAATTAGACAATATTTTGCTTAAGTGTGTTTTTGTGCTCATAATACCTTAGCTGGTTTAGCCCTGCCATGAACAGCTGACTCCCAAAGTGTTTCATATTCTTCATATTTTATGCAGTGGTTAGTTTACAGCGGTGACAGAAATGAACTTTTTCACTATGAGGGAATATTTGACTTAAACTGATTTCCTTAAAATGATTTTTGCCTTTTATAATGGCAGTAGTCTATAACAGGGATGATCAGTCCTGCTCCTGGAGGACCAGTATCCTGCAGAGTTTAGTTCAAACCAGCTGCAACATACTTGCCTTGAATTAGGGTTTGAGCTCAACTCTGCAGGGCAGGACAGTGGCCCTCCAGGGACAGGTTTGAACACTCCTTTTCTATAACCTTATTAGATGTGTGCATTATCTTTTATGTCAAATTCTTACATTTAATCATGGCCCTGTATATCTTAAATTTCATTCAAACATTCCATGCATTCCAACGGCATTAAAATAAGCTACATTACGCAGTGAAAAAGTGTGTACTCTCAAGGTGTTTTTTTGTTTGGTTTTTGCAAAGCGGATGACATACTCGATGTCAGCTTGCATATTGTAAAAAACAATAATTACAGTATTATAGACAATACCTATCGCACGTCCCAACCATGACTATTTCATTCTTTTCTACATTTAAATATATTTAAGAATTTCACTTGTAATACAGTGTTTCTATCCTCCTTTTTCTGCTTTCATAGGCTTTGCAAATTTTTCTGAAAGTGCCGTGAAGTTTCTGGAGAACCAAGGCCTTGAGTCTCAGTAAGTATTATGGCTGCTGTACCCCTGCCCCCTTTGTCAGCAGAGAGGGAGTGTGTGTATACAGTATACCATGTCTCCATTGATTAGGATTAAGCCATGTATGTGATGGTTTGTGCTTCCCTGCAGTGAATAGGCCTTGCCCTCTTCCTCTGTCTCTACAGGGGCCCCATATCCAAGCTGACCTTTAAGCTGATTCTGGCACTGCTCTGCGCTCTCATTGGAGCCTTTCTCACCTTCCCAGGCTTGCGATTGGCCCAGATGCATCTTGATGCCCTCACACTAAACAACTGCAAAGTCACACAGTAAATGTTTCAGTAAATCTAATTACTAATATGTTGACTAGAGCCCGACTGATATATCGTTTAGCCGATATTATCGGCCGATATGAGCCTGTCGCCGATATATCGGTATCGGCGAATATGCCGCCGATATGAACTTTGTTTTTACAGAACATATAATGCAGATAAAATGCTTGAAATGGTGTAATTACTTAGTTTGTCTTAGTGCGCCATTGTTTGCTACTGGCGACCTGGATGAAAAGCTTTAAAGCTTATCTTATAAGTCTATGGAAAACCATTGAACGTTACATTCAAAGGGCATTAAAGTGCGCGAGACGTGAATTTATATTTATTTACAGAGGTATATTATGTCACACTTCACACTTCTCTAGTAAGTTTTGTCTGTGTGTGAAGACAGTAGCGCAAATCCGTGAATTAATGTTCCAAAGTGAAATAAACTTAAACGGAATAAAGTTGAATGGAATTGAATTGAATTAAAGTTGAATAAACTTCAACTTTACTGTTCAGTGCACTGATGTCAGACTCATTTTGGATAATAAAGTTTATTGTTAAATTGTTAAATGCCCTGCCTCCATCATTACATATCTTTGTCACGTCATTATAAGTGTTTGATCACCACATTTGAGTGATCATTGCAAAAAATGTGTTTATGTATATATATTCTGTTTATGTATATACTGTATTCTATATATAGTACCAGTCAAATGTTTGGACACACAAATGGGAAAGTGTCCAAACTTTTGACTGGTACTGTACTATAATATACACAAAGAATATCGGCCGATATATCGATAACTGTATGCAGTTTTTTTACTCCCTAATATCGGTATCGGTATTGGCCCCAAAAAACCCATATCGGTCGGGCTCTAATGTTGACACCTTTAGTAGTCACCTTAAATGCTAAAATTAAAATGATGAGTATTTCTTTGGCCTTACATTTGAATTATTCAATGTATTTATTTTCGCCAAGCGGAATTTAACCAGTTTATATTGAAATATTGTAGCCACTAACAATATTTCCATGTTAATTGATGTGGAGCATCAATGTCTGACTATATCTGCAGCAAGTTAGCAGATAAGCATTACTGTAGATGGACCTGGTCTACATTTCCAGCCAGCATTGGGCTCTAGGGTAACTGTGTTACAAAAGAGGAGTTAGGCATTACACATCTCACATAGCTAATCCTCTTCAGCGTGGGCAGCTCACCATACCTGGTCTCATGACACTATGGGGCTTACTCTTTTAGGCCTGGATTACTGCTATGCTTCTTGTACGGCTGAAATGGTATATTTAAAGCAGTGGCACTTGATAGTTGATGTCTACTGCTCCACTGATCTTGATGCTCTTGTGTGTTACCTTGTCTAATTGGTTGTTTTTATGTGTCCATCCTTCAGGACCTTGCTACATATCAACTTCTTGGCCCCCTTAATCATGGTACTGCTATGGGTGAAGCCCATAACAAAGGATTACATAATGAATCCCACATTTGGGAAAGATAGTGTGCCTTTGTGAGTATTTTGTTTTACAATTAAGCAACGTTATATTTTGCATTATTACTATGTTGAATTGTTTTTAAACTTGTTCATTAAGGCCCTCTGTGCACTTGAGGAAGCTTACTTTAGTCAACATGAAAACAAAATTGACCCTGATTACTTTAATACACGATCCTGGTCTTATTGTACATGATTCATCAGTACACAGTATTCAAATGAAAGTTAATGTCTTCGTAATTTTTCATGAAAATCATTTATAATTAAAGCATTATTTATAATAATTTGTTCTGCCTCTGAAATGGCCTTGTTTGACGCTGCAAAGGGTGAAAATAATGTTAACAAATAGCTTAACACTTATTGGTGGAGAATTCATTTCATTTCAAACCCTTTCCAATAGTTAACACAGTAATGTTATGGTGGTTAATGGTTGTGGAATAATGTAACGATGAAAGATTTGGGAGAGGGTGAAAAGTTGATAAGCTCTAGAGGGTAAACTTCCACGTCTTGGTCAGAAATTCTCCTCAGAGGTTGGTGCTGATGATATTTCAGGAGGGAAGTAATCATCGGGCAATCTACAAACTACAAACTCTCATTTGGGTTCCATTCTTGTGTGAAATGCCCACCTTTCTCAATCCAATTTATCAAGTCCCACCCTATATTTGTTTTACTCATAAATGCATCACATTGAGGTGGTAAAATAGGTTGCGATTGCCATTTTCTGTTGACTTAAAGTGATGTTTTTTTAGTGAGAGCTTTGTTCATTCTTCTCAAGTCACAACCTAAGTTTTGGACTGATTTGGTGCATCACTCCTCTTCATCTGCTTTCAGAATGTCTGAGAAGACATACGACACGTTGCGACTGTGGGTGATCCTGCTTCTGTGTGTGCTGAGACTAGCCATGATGCGGCATCATCTCCAGGCCTACCTCAACCTGGCCCAGAAGGGCGTCTTGCAGATGAAGAAGGAAGCGGGACGCATTAGTACAGTGGATCTCCAAAAGATGGTGTGTAAACTTTAGAAAAGTGTTCAAACTTTTTGCTCTTACAGATAAACAGTGTCATCACACTAGTATGCAATGAAGTTATTGCGTTGCAAAGCCATCTTATTTTGCCCGATATCCCATCTTTAGTAGGTTGTTCTTGTGATGTTTGATCTCTACTGGTTAATAAATGCACTCAGGGCATCTACTCTTGGGGCCTGCATTACAGTGTCGACATTTCTCAAAGGTGGAAATATGTCGGTATGAAAAAGGACTGCGTGGCATTGTTGCCCTCAAAGCTCTAAAATGAGGAGGCTATCTGAGTTTAGTGGAGCGCAAGGATCAAAACCCACAGCACTTCACAGCTGGAGCTGAGGAAAAGAGCCCGTTTGATGTTCCAAGCCATAAGTGAGACTCGCAAATGGCTGTAGAGTCGCAGGGGTGTCTGGTCTTACATCTGCTCCCGAATCATATGCTTGCAGCCTCCCTCTGTACTTAAGCTCCCAGTGATGGTTTCAGCGAGTCTGTTTGATGAGCTCCTCTCCTGCCAAGCTGCTTGTTTTGAACGAAATTTGCCTAAATGTTTTAACTGCAAATTTGTTTTTCCTCACACAGGTCGCCCGAGTCTTTTACTACCTGTGTGTAATAGCTCTTCAGTACATCGCACCTCTGGTGATGCTGTTGCACACTACTTTCCTGCTAAAGACATTAGGTGAGTGCATTAAGGTTCTTCTTGACATGTTCTCAATTGCCTCAGTAGGGTTTCTTGAATTTTTCAGACTCTTGTTTTAACCCCCAGGTGGATACTCGTGGGTGATTTACCCCGAAGAGAATTTGCCGTGTCTGTCAAATGAGGACTCGAGCCCCGCTGAGGTGGGGCAAGACGAGGTGCAGGCCTCTCAAACAGTGGCCCAGCTATCGGTTGCTCTCGGGGGGCTGAGGACTGTTTTCTCCCCCTTGCTTTTTCGAGGGCTCCTGTCCTTCTTCACTTGGTGGATTGCTGCATGCCTGTTCTCCACCTCTCTCTTCGGCCTCTTCTACCACCAGTATCTGATGGCTGCATAGCATCGGGAAGGTCTTGTTCGACTGAACTGTGCAACACGAGGCCCTGAAACATTCCCCTTTTTCTGCAACCATATCAGCCGAGTTCTTCTCTGACGGGCTTCCTCCATGGACACAACCTAACCAATACATAAACAACAACCATAATAATTCAGTCACTGTTCTTAAACATCATGAATGGAGGATGGCATCCAAAGGAGACCTCAAAAAATGCTGTTTTTAAAGGGGATGTCATCTTTGAACCACCAGAAGATTGAAAGCAAGGGATCACTCATGGTCTTTGACATACTGCATTTTATTTTTTAGAGTATAAAATTATGATCAATCAATTGCATAAGAATTATGGTTTTTAATAGTGTTTTAAAGTTGTTTCACTTCTCCAAAGTAGAAACTGGGTTCTGCTTTAGGGGAGTTTTTCATTGCTGATCCGTGAAGATGAAACAGTGTTTTAGTCAGGCTTGGAGAGTGCAGTGAGGGGACTGATCAAGGAGAGCAGTATGTGTTAAAGGTATATTTATTTGTTCTTTTCAGAAGGACTGAAGTCAGCCTTCTCACAAGGAGCGTTTAGTTTGACTGTAGAAGACTGAGAGATCATTTAAGTGTGTGTGCGTGTGTGCGAGTGATGGTTTGTGTGTTAACATCAGTGCCTGCAGGCTCTCCATGACCCCTGCTGCTGGTGAGTAAATCTAAAAAGGGCATTTTGATCAAGTATGAAAGCTAACTCAAAAAACTGTCTAAAGCACTGGCCTCCGCTCTTCTGATACCCTCCCCTGTCATTTGACTGGGCAGATGTTTCACTTTGAATTTCGGGTGACATCAAACACATCCTGTAAGTGTGCTCTGTGTTTCTGTATGGAGCTTATTGATTTTCTGTAATGCATCAAATAACAGGTTTGGATTTGTTTCATGTGAAGGTGCCAAGTATGCTTGTACTCCCCGGTGAGTGTGTACAGTATTTTCTGCTGGAAATCAGAAGCACACATGCTGAGGTACGAGCCAAAGCAGAATATGCGGCTTGATCACAAAGAAACGTCTACATGTTTAATGAGGTCCACTTTAATATTGTGAGATTTTTGGCACTATAGTTACCAAAACTGCACAGAGGCATATCTGAAATAATTTTGTTTTACTTTTTGTTAGTCTTTTTTAGTGTTAACCTACTGTAAAAGTCTTATTCTCACCTTCCATTTTGAGTTTTTGGAAGGTACACAGACAATGAATGTACTGATCCTGTCTGATTTTTCTTTTATTATTGTAGAACGATTCTGCTACCCTTGGGGCCCCTAATAAAAAGCTACATATGACAAAATTGTGGCTTTTAACAAATAACAGTTAAATTAGAAATGACATTTTTCTATATAGAAGGCCTCCAGGGATATTTATGTTGCAAAAGAGCGTCCGTTATTATCAAAATCACACTATACAATCAATACTTGTTAACAATGTGGCAGTAAGATGCTTTTTGAGAGCTGTTTTTTTTTTTCCCCCGTTGTTGATCATCAAGCTGTGAAGATTGATAGACTCAAAGGGGAGTTTATTTTAGCTGTAAACAATCACAATTGTTGGTAATCATCAGCAGGGCCATTTTAGTCTTACACTCAGCTATAGTATGTTTTTTTCCCTTTACCTTATATTGATTTTCTCCCCTGTTCCCCAACTATTGAAAATTAAAAACAAGTGACCAAAATTAATCTAAAAAATATATCACTAAAATCTTACTAAGTATAGCCCCTTTTATGATGTTTCGAATATGCATGTCTTTAAACATTTCTAACCCTAATGCCAAATAACAGTATATGAGGCTCAGAACTGAGCCATATTAATTTAAGATATTCAAGACAAATCACTCTTTTCTATTCCAGTAGTGAAGTAGCTGGGATCTCTTTTAAAACCTATGAGCCTATGTATCTGTTGGTCTCTAATGCATTTTAAGTACTTATCTTTATTTATTACTTTTCAGTTTGTTTAATAAATGATTGTCAAGAAAACCTCATGACTTTTTTGTCTTGCTATATTTTTTGTTCTGTCAGGGTTTCCCCTTTCTCATCTCCCACAGTATTTTGTTGACATAGGATAGAGTTACAGTTTTTGGGTTGTATTTTTTTTTTTAAATACACAATTTGGTCATGTTACTCCCTCTAAAGCTAGTGTTATCATGAATAAAATTAATTCGCACCGTGAATGGTTCTCATTTATGTGACGCTGGAGTATTGTTGTCCTGAGTGCTATTGTCGATACCGGCCTCCTCTTTTAGTTGGCGCTCTTGGATCAATGAGACAAATTCCAAAACAAACAGCCGAAGAGGCTCTTTTCTTTTTCTAAGAAGACTCCATTCACACAAACCATTTTATCCGAGGCCCACAAAACAGCCCCTTTGTGGGTCGTCGTTCCCAGTGCCCGAACGAGCGAATCTTCTCGAAAGGTATCTTTTTAATGACCGTTCCGCTGTCTGTGCAAAATAATGAGAGTTTCATTATTGTGTTAGTTCAGTTAAGAGCAGCAAAATAAATAATGAGAACTTGTAATAATGGGTGACCTAACCTTGTTCTTTTTGTCCTGAAATGAATAGAGTTAAAGCAAGGACTCTTGTGGAAGCTAACGAACCTGGGTGCTTTGGTTTTGCACAGAGAACTGTTTTCAAAGACTGCTTGATTTTCCATAATGCAAATACCTTTTATACAGTCTATGGCGAATACACTCTAGAACAGTAGGTTCACATGCCTGCAAGAACATGTTAGTTGCAAAACAAGACATATTTGTGTGATTTACGTAAATGCATTGGTTTACATGTTTTAAGATGAGGGGAATGAGAGCTACCACATGATCTGTCTTTTTCGGTGTTGTTTATATATGATACAGTATCTGTGGATGGAAGGTTCTTGTCGTGTCAGTGTAATGCAATTGAGTACACTGCGTAATGAGTAGTGAGCTACAACAGAGCATTTGGACAGAAGTGACTGCCCCCTTGTGAAAGCCTCATGTACTGACAAGCTTAACATCAATGAGGGGCTTTATTTTTATTGCATGCCTTGTCACATAAAAGGTTATACATGAATAATTGATGCAGTTTTAATTTTTGGTTTTTGTTTAAATTGGCTATATCTAATTGAAACATTTTAATTATATCTTGGAGATATTGACGGAGCACAAAGAAGGTGCTGCTGGACATTAGGAAAAGACAATCTGAGAAATATAATATTTTTAAACCTTTAAATATCGTTAATGTTTAATTAAGATCTTAAGGGTCTGTGTAAAATTGATTTGCATTTCTTACATATTTATAAATGTCAACAAATGCTTTAATAGTATAATTGTATTTTATTGCAATATACAATGAAAACATCAGTCACTTGCAATTAGAAAAATAGGTGTAGATCATAAAATGCAAACACTGTTCGATTTTTTTTTGTACTAAAATAGAATTTTAAAAGAGCCAAACAAGCACATGCATGCATTATTTTCTATGTCCGTTGATTTATTTAAAGAAAATAGATTAAAAAAATACCACACACTAACACAGCTTGCAAAAACAAACAGTATTTATTACAATGTTTCAGTCAAGTGACCTTCGTCAGGCGTGTGTCCGCTGATCTGTAATCCTCTTTAGCCCTTAGTTGCCCTTGATGTGTCCCTTGTGCCTCTTGTCTGAACTGTGGCTAGTGGTCAGAGGGCAGCAAAAGGTCAGCAAGCAGTCACCCGAAGCCCCCGTGGGACACCGCCATTTAGATTCCTGCACACCAGCACTATCGCTGAAGATACTCAATGTATGTATGAGTGGAAACGGAGAACAAATACCTGTTAGTGAGTTTCTTTATTAAAAGTCACTAAAGCCGACAACCTTTCATATAAAACAGAGAGCCTTGTCCTTTTAAAAAATAACGTGAATTAATAAAAACAAAAAGCTGGGCTGAGTAACCAATGCATTTGTGTAAATTTGTTAATTAAATAGGAAAATACTTTATGCTGTTATTATTCTTATTCTTATTATTAATAAATTTGCCTCTGGTGGAATAGTGGCTATCATTATTGCCTAAAATGGAAACAGTAATTAGCTAAGGATAGCAAGCATTATTACTGTTACACTAATGAATGACTGTTCATTAAGGAGGATAATAAGAGAGAAACAATGTATAAAGAAACATAGAATGTGCTTAGTTGCACGTGTTGTCAATACAATATGTAGGCCTATCTGAGAAGAAAAAAGAAAGAAAGAAAACTTTGCTGCTCAGAGAGAAGTTGCTTCATACATGAGATTTATTTCCACAATCACAGACATGACCACTTTCCTGCCCTGCTCATGTGCGGTGAGGATCCTATACAGAAGTATTTGTCGTTGGGGAATTGTTGCCGCTGGAGATAGTTGCCGGGTGCAGTGGCTGGAGGCATGTTCCGTCTAGGCCATAGGAGCTGACTCCCCATAGGTCACCACTGGAGGTGAGAAACTCATATTGTGTCCTCTGTTTGCTGGCCTGAAAAACGGGGGAAATAAGGGTTGGTCTGTATTAGTCTGTAAGTTTGCAAGGGACGTATTTCAAGAGCGGCAAAAAGGTGATGTGCCACTATTGTGTGAATGGCCCCTATACTCACTTTGCCAAAGCCTGCCCATTTGCCAACAGATTGCCTCTGTTACCTAGCAACAATTTAATTAAGATGGTACATGCAAGGTGGGGCTTTCTCTCTAAATGCAGGATTTTTAGCGTCCCAATAAGAATATTCACTCTTTGAATGACCTAAATTACTTTTTAATCTTAACAATTACCAGTAAGCCAACCTGGCTTTAAACTCATTAAATGTAGTTATTAAAAGTAATTTAATTCTGATAATTTCTTTGAAAAATGCTTGTCAAAAACGTATAATTTGTGACAACCATTTTTTAATCCATGGTTATTTTATCCATGTTTATTTTTTTCCCCGTCTTTCATTTAATTGATCCTTTTGTGGTCCCTGCCAAAGGTTGTGAATTAGACACATATGTGTTATGTGTAATCATATAGCAAATATTTTTAATTTATAGACTATGTCGGATGTCAGATGAAACAAATATATATCCTGCTACTGCATAAAAAGATTCTTCATCTTATATGAACACAGCTGAAATAATCATAAATTGTTTGCATTACAGGAAAGGGTGCAGAAATGATCTGGACACTACTAAAGCTAATAATATTATTAAGTATTATTTATGAATAAAATACCTATAAAATAAAGCATTAACTCTTTACAATAACATCCGATTAATTAATGCTGAGCAATACATTTGTTAAGAGTATTTATGTAATGTAAGTTACTAAAAATACAATTGTTCATGGTTAGTTCATGATAGCTCAGATCCATTAAATAATATTAGCAGATACTACTTTTTATTTAAATAATATATTAGTAAATGTTGAATTTAAGATTAACGAAGATTAATAAATGTTTTAGACGTATTTTTCATTGTCAGTTTATATTAGCTAATATAGTTAACTAATGTTATTGAATGGAACCTTATTTTATAGTGTGTTACCAATAAGGCTTAATTTTTAGTCATATTAATGGATAAAAAAATTAACTAACATTTAAAGATGTAGTATTGTACAGTCAAATTCTCTTGTGGCCTAATGTAAAATATAACTGCACCTCCAAATTATTCAACAAAGCTTTGCCATAGAGGGTGATGAAGTTGTGCAAGTGGAAATGATTTTAATATGGAAAATAAATTGATTTCATAATTGTAATGTCTTTATATTCAAAATTATTCACAGAGTGTCAGTTTCAACAAATCAAACAAGAATATGTTCTGCCATCGGCATCTTCCTGTCCTAAAAAGGTGATAATGAGAATTTTAGATCAAGCTCCAGAAATGACAGAAACTCGTTTTAACCAGCTGCTTTAGGTACCTCATCATCTGCCGGAGGTGTGCGATTCATTATTTTTCTGTCAGTTTAGAGTGTAGGAAAATACACAGAGTAGTTTTAAGGTGGGCACAAGCAGATGGTACAAGAACTGTGGATAATATCTGTTCTGCAGTACCACTAAACAAATATTTTCATTATTCAACAACTGAAAGCTGAAAGTTAAATCTGGCAAAATCATATTCATGAAATAGCTTGACATATAGTTAGTGTAAGCAATCTGTGTGGATTGCAATCCATTTAACCTGCTTCTAATGTGATATATTTCTCCATTTCTGATTCAATATATTTGACAGAGACGTTTAACAGACTCCAAAACATTCAAAGCATGCAAATCAAAGTACATGACATGGTCTCGGTTAACATAATGACTTTAGTAGTTCTGCCCAAAATTTGGGTCTTGACATTAACAATGACCAGGCAAGGAAACATTTGTGAAGCCGATGTGTTATATATGATTGTGGGTTTGTGGGAAAGGGCACGAGCAGTTGCTGGGATCAGTTCACACTGCCGTGTGTCTGCTTCTCCAGACACATTGCCAATCTTACAATGGTGACAATAATGGTGGCCCAACCTGCCCCGCCACTCCAGACAATAGGAAAGGCCCGGGGCCATATGCTGAGCCTCTTGACATGGGTTCGTTTGAAGGATTGTCTGTGGGAAGGCAGGGACCAGGACTACACCAGACATCGAAGGTCACGGGGTCTTTCAAAAGAGGCGACGTGGTCGAGCTCCTAACATAACTGCTGAAAAGGGCCGAGGTAATTTTTTGTGAACTGGCTTATTTTAAAGGTCCTTGCACACAGAGTCCGAAACTTTCGTATGCATTTTTCCGTTTTTTCGTATTCGTCCTTTCCTATCAAAATGCTTGCTACGGATGCGAAAACGCAGAAAATCGAACCTGGTCCGAATTTTTTGATGACGGACGAAAGTTTCGGAGGCAGTGTGTAAACGTGATTGACACAACGTGAGGTCGTATTTATTTTTCAACGTGCGAACATTTCGGACGAAAAATTCGGACTCAAGTGTGCAGAGACCTTAAGTCCTTTATTTCCATGCTTGAGATCTTAGTGAATTGTACAATTACTTAAATCATAAA